GCTTAATTGAAGATTCTTACCTTAGTCTTCTTTTTGGCCTGTAATTTGCGATTAAATAAAAAGGGTGTTTTTTTTAGAAAAAATCGAAGTTTGTGCCGGTAATGTGCCTAAACATTTTATTAAAAATGAATGTCTTTTTAACCATATAAGACTTAATTTGATATCCCACCATCTTTAAAAGGGTATTATTTTCTTTGCAAAGTAGGAAAATTAAGAAAATAAGTTGCAGTGACAGTGTTAAGAATAAAATTTTTAAAAAATTTACGAAATCAGTTATATTATAATTTTCAAATCAGATTATAACCTGTGAAATTATATATCTTTGGCTGTTATCTATTAAGATGAAGTTTTAAGAAAGTAGAATAGGCTTAAAAAGTAATTTTTTGTTTCTCTTTTTGGCCTACCTCTCGGTGTGGAACAATCAAACCATGGCGTTCAGAGTGTGCACAAATTTTATAACTACTATCCTTTTAAAACTTTCTCTATCAATTGCAAGAATTTCCTAAAAAAGTTACACAGAATATTATAAAAACTTTAATTACAATGAATTTATAAAAATTAGCACTGGGGTAGAATATGCTGCTCCCGTGGCTTTTAGTAACTGAGCTAAAATTATAGCTGTTACTTATTTAAGCATTTTGATAATACTTCTGACGTCTATATATCTAAATTAAGCGGTGCGAGTAAAGGTAAAAGGTAAAATATATTATTTCACGCTTACGAGGGATCCTGCGCTTGTCAAAAATTACAATTAACTTAAATTATTCTGCTTAAAGTATGGTTCATATTCTTAAAACTACGCTTAAAATAAAAAATTATTTGACATGCATATACTGTTGTATTGCTTAGTTTTTAGAATTAAGTAATTTCTAGTTTTATAAAAAATTCGACCAAATATATTAAGATTCATTGATCGATTTACAAACCAAACTTAAAAAAAAAAATTTTAAAAGTAGGGAAAGCGAGCAATTAATAATTTACTTAAGCCACAGCTTTAAGCGGAAAGCATCCGCACCATTCATATAATACCTGTTAAAAAAAACTTTACTAATGTTTTAAATAGGTTTATAAAAGTGGGCACCTATACAAACGTTTATGACGAATAAACCCTAAATTCTCATATAATTTAAGCGAAAGTTCGTTGGAAACTTCAGTTTCTAAAAATATCTTTGAAAAGATTAAAAAAGTCCTCCAAAAGTAACAGAAAATATGTGCCTCCTCACAATTCTCTAAACGCATAGCCCGAATAGCAGCAACGGTTAAGGCGGTACCTGCAAAAATAATTTAAAAAAAAAATTTTAAAGGAAAGTGAGTTAAAAAGTTAAGTAACCGACGCGTCGCCCTCTGTGCATATTATCTACCACCAACATTGCGATGTATCCTCGCAACTTGTTATAGTGTTCTTCCATTTTGCCAACGATTACTCCAATACAAGTTGTATTTTCCAAGCACTATAAATAATTAATAATGAGGGCTTTATTTTAGTTAGAAATTATTACCAAAAAACATAGGTGGGGCCAAGAATGAAGAAAATAACGATAAGTATAAATTGAATAGGGTTCAGACAAATTATTCATCGTTAAAGTAGATATATCTTTTAGTCGGGTTTCCCCCGTGTACGTTACAACTTTATACGAGTCTAGAATAAATATAACGCTAAGTTGTATAAACGATAAGCAACAAGACCACCAACAATAAAAAGGTTGTACCAGGAAGAAAAAATTCTTCGTTTACTTCTTTAGATATACCTTCACACATAAGCTTTTTATCCTCGCGAATATTTTCGATTATAGTGCCATAACTTGAGTAAGTAAGAGAAGAAAAGGAATTGAGGTGATGGGTGCCGCCATCCTGAGAAACTTGAATATTAGACTCAGACCCGGAAGATATTTTGCAACTTTCATTAAATTTCAAAGAATTCACTAAAGTAAAAATAAATCGAAGTCATCTTTATAAAGCCTGTTAGTGCAATATACAATGCAAGGAAGTAAATACTTAATGCTTCGGGGCAAGCATGCGGCAAAGTAGGAGTCATACCAACCCTTCTTTAACTGCATTTATCCCAATTTTAACAGAAGCTCCAGAATAATAAAGTCCGACTGGTTCATTTTTAATTTATAAATATCAAAGTAATATAAAGTACTATAAGTTTAAAATATTTTGATGGAAAAAAAAAATTAATTCATGTGCACAACCAACATGAACCTTTATTTTCTGGTTGTATAGTCAAAAACTATAGAATATTAATACCACTGCCGACAAACATACCTATATATATAATTTTTTGATAGGTAAAAGTCAGCCTCAGCTTTTTAATGTTATTGTTACTTTAGATTGCAAAAGGATATTGTTTTTAGTTGAAAACTTGTAACGCCTAACCATCCAGTTTACATTTTCCCCTAACGTACGTATCTATATGTATAACTGAATGTCTCAAATAATTGATTTCTGCTTTGAGACGCCAACGGCGTTCAACACAGGAAACATCGGTTGTAATGACTGATGAAGCTATAAAGATTATACTTAGGTTATCAGCAAGATATATACTTTCAACTTATTAACATAGTCAGAGCTTCCTCGATAAATGTGGCGGAGCTTAGTTCTTCAAAAAAAAATGAAGCACTCGTCATAATCATGAGTCTCTGTCAGCTCTGCAAAGCCCAAAGATGCTGGAAACTTTTTCTGTAGAATTTAGCGGGGTTTTGTTCGTTGTGAGCAGCATAAAAGTATTTCCACAAGCAGTTAAAAACTAGATAACATGTTCTGGAAGCCCCCGCAAGGATCGAGAACACAAAAAGCTGCACTTGAAAAAGATACCAAGGAACTCGGGCGGCACGGGTTTGCTCCGCGGCAACAACGCACATGGCGAAAGTGTGGATACGCTTGCGTCTTATAACCTTCGCCTTCACTACAGGTTAGGCGGCTGTCCATTGAGCTAGTAGGCAATCCTGCTTGAGTTGGGCGATGAGTAATAGATATATAAGGGTTACCAAATATAATATGTTGAGTTCTTATAAATGTCCTTTCGTCATACCCGACATAACCAAGGAGGCCCGTCTTTTTAGACTTTGACTTACAACTCAGCCATCACGACATGGAAGTTAACTACCCTCTCGATTACGAGTCTGCTTTTTTGGCTTGCCGTTCTTCAGCACTAGTTCCTCTTTTAAGAAAACAAAATTAGCTGCTACACGTCATAACCTCCAGCTAAAGTCGCTGAGCACCTCTTAAAGCAATACCTTTGCAATTTACGTTAGCTATTGAGCCTAATAAACGCTGTAAGCGTAATGCGTTTTATGCGTTTTTTTCGGTGGGGTAGGAAGAAAACAGTTAAGACTTTGCACATGGCTTAAAAATAAGTTAAATTAAATTACAAAACTATAAATTTTCTTGTTTTCTTATATATTTGTTTATCAAATTTATATTTACTTTCTAACGGTAAGCATTCCCTTCCTGCGAAACTACCAACTGGAAAAGGTTGGCACTCCCCGCATGTTGCACGCAGCGTTTTCCCTACTGACTTTTTTTTGTTTAGGTCTGGTAATCATTTGTTAGGCCTATCTTTCATAATAAAGATATTATACGTGCAGCGCACTTTTAATCTCGGCTTGAACTTTTACTAAAGAATTTACAAATAATATGGTATTGTCAACACTTTATTTTTGACTCGATTTATAAATTATATTTTTTATATATATCAAAGGCTAAAGTGGAAGTTAAAGACTTAACTCGCGTTGAAAGGATAGGTACTGTTTTTATGTTTTTATGTAACACTTTATGGTTTTTATGGTTTAAAAATTATTAAGTATAGAACTTTATTCACTCCTAAAACAGGTGCCCATTCCCATATTCGGGGATTAGGTTTGAATGATTTATTAGAGGCTCGTCTTAACTCTGAGGGGATGGTAGTAGTAGTATTTACTCTAAGAATAAATTTTTTATTTCTGAGTATAAAGGTAGGGCAAGAGGAGGCCAGAAGAGCGGCTGGAATGATCTGCGAAATGATTAAAGAAGGCCTCTTCTTTAGGAGTTATATAAACTTAAAAGTAATTTTAAGCAGGTAAAATTGCCGGAAGAGCAGTATTAATTGCTGGTCAACCTGGAACAGGAAAAACTGCTATTGCAATGGGTTATACCATTATCTATCTTAATCTTATTAAGAAAGCTTTATTAGTTTATTGTTTATGCTTGCGGACGTATATAGCCATGGCCCAGAGTCTGGGCCACGATACTCCCTTCACCTCCATTTCTGCTAGTGAAATATTTTCGTTAGAAATGAGCAGGACGGAGGCCTTGACCCACGCCTTTAGACGCTCCATTGGGGTTCGCATTAAGTGCGCTTAATATATTGAAATTTGCTTTAAATTAAAGTTAACTTCCCATTGCTTTAGAGAAGAGGCAGAAGTTATTGAGGGAGAAGTTGTCGAAATACAGATTGACAGACCCGTTTGTGGTTCCGTAAGTATTTTTTATTTTTATTTAAACCTTTTTTCAACTTTCGTTTTAAGGGATCGAAAGTAGGAAAACTTACTATGAAAACCACCGAAATGGAAACCATCTACGACCTTGGGGCAAAGATGATCGAGAGCTTAACAAAAGAAAAAGTTCAAGAAGGGTTCATATGTATTCTCATTCTATTTTATAACAATTTTTTAAATGCGATGTATGCAAAGAGATGTGATACACATCGACAAGCTGACCGGCCGTATTTCCAAGCTGGGCCGCTCGTTTTCCCGAGCTAGAGACTTCGACGCCACCGCAGCAAACGTAGATTTTGTTGCTTTTTCTGCATAGATGGCTCTCGCAAGGCCAGGTGCTTAACTGTATTCGCAGACACGCTTCGTTTCATGTCCAGAAGGGGAACTTCAAAAACATAAGGAAGTGGTTCATACGGTTTCCCTCCACGAGATTGACGTGATTAACAGCCGCCACCAAGGGTTCTTGGCCTTATTTTCTGGTTTGCTTGCTAACCGTGGATATAGTTGTACTGAGCTTCTCTACAACTAATTTTTTATACAACAAAGGGGAGACTGGAGAAATCAAGCCTGAAGTTCGTGACCAAATCGATGCAAAAATTGCGGAATGGTGTTTAGAAAAAAAAGCGGAGCTCGTAATTGTGCATAAAATTTAATTAACGTGTTATTACTTATACTTACACTGAAGGTACCCGGCGTGCTTTTTATAGACGAAGTCCACATGCTCGATCTTGAATGCTTTTCATTCTTAAACCGCGCCCTTGAAAATAAAATGGCGCCCATCCTCGTCATGGCCACCAATCGAGGGATTACCAAAGTAAGAGGCACCAATTATAAGAGCCCGCATGGTGCGCCATAATTTTTTTTTATTAATATGAACATCGACAAATATTAATGCCGAAGGAATGCCGCTGGACCTACTGGATCGCTTGCTGATCATCACCACCAGGCCATACACTAATGACGAGATACGACTCATCCTTTCTATTCGGTGCATCCCTTTTACCCGCACAAGAATTTATTTCTTCACGTATGCTTACACATGTCTTTTGTACTAACTTCAGCTGCGAAGAAGAAGACGTTAAAATGGAGAGCGCTGCGCTGGACGTGCTAGCCAAGATAAGCGCGGAGACATCTCTGCGGTACGGCATACAGCTTATCACGACCGCCAGCATCATTTGCTACAGAAGAAATGTGCCTCTTTCTTTTGCGTGTGTATTCGACTCCTGTTAAAAACCTTTCAGGACGAGGCTGTCTCGGTGAGCGACGTGGAAAGAGTCTACTCTCTTTTTGTTGATGAAGCGCGTTCTACGCAGTTTTTAAGGGAGTACCAAAATGACTTTTTAGGCGACGAGAACGTTTTAGACGGAGACATGGTTATGGCCACGCAATAACTGCATTGTGTTTATTATTGTTCAAAGTAGCTAGTAGTCATCTCCACGAGTAAGAACTTCTTTGCAAGTGGGCCTGACAATAGCTATAATAAAGACTTTTATAATAAAAAAGTGAAGAGAACCTCAACAGAATAGTGTGTTCGAATTGCGCAGTGTAGGAGCCCTTCACGTCCACCAATGGCGGATAGGCATCTATAATTCCGCTGTCGCACAGACTTTTAAGTGCAAAAGAGTACCTAATATTTCCGCGTAAGGCTAATGCCCATTCAATAAGTTACTCAGAGAGTACTTACCGTTGCTCTCCAATGAAGTCAAGGTAGCGTGGGCAAAAGGCCAGCGTGCCAAAGTGCTTATTGATGGTATTCAAAAGCTGCCTTGCCCTCTGCAAACTTTTCCAGGTCAACATGCAAATAAACAAAAACCAGCTAACGTTACCGAATGGGCGCCCGACGGCCGGCAAAGTTTTTCATGTAATGACTGCAATCCAGATCATCTCTAACGTGTCCTCTTCCCGTTGAGCCAAATGTCTCAATAGCGTAAAATTCTCCTTCCTGTAGGAAAAGAAAACGTAACATGATAAAGGCCATTGGTGCTAAAAGGTCTGCTGTACCTCCATCCGGTCCGTTTCACCGCCACCTTTAACGATTGGAACATTTTTCCCCCCGTGTATCCTGTATCGATCAATAGAATGTCCGCTCAAGTTATTGATTGGCTTGACTAGGCGCAGTCGTATATAAATGGTGCGAAAAATATGGAAGACTTAGGCAATGTACTCTGCTTCGTTTCACCGCCCAACTCAATTTCGTAGGACTCCATAACCTCTTGCACAGCCGCTCCAATGTCGCACAGTCGGACGTCGATCCCCGCCGTACGGATCCCTTTGCTAAGTGTTAAGGCCATTTTTCCTTTACAATATTAGATGCAGGCCTGTATTAGTAGCATCCTTGACTGCGGCAACCAACGGGTCGTATCTGGGATTGGCTGTCCAAGTAAAGGCGCAGTCAATAATTAGTCCTGAAGGGCCAAAAGAAAAATTTAACGAAAACCTATTGGCCATCAAAGTATTAATACACCATTCACGTGAGTTCCAAAGTCGACCTTGCACACGTCGTCGTACTGCAGAACGGTGGGATCCCCTCTATTTGGAGTGTAGTGGGCTGCCACGTGATTTAATGAACAACCAGTGGGAAAAGCGATACCTAAGGCAAACCCCCACCAAAAAAAAAAAAAAAAAAATTAAATTAAAAATCAAGAAATTTTACTTCTTCTGTACCGGCTTTAAGGCCGTTTTCCTTAATTAACGTTCGCACAGCGTGCTCAGCCCTCTCGCAAATCTCAATCATTGTTAAACCTGGTTTCATAAATTCTCGAAGATCTTTTCTTACTATACGGTGAACCTTTTAAATCTATTAGATAAATATATTATAAAAAATAAAGGACTAAAAAAGAAAAGACTTCTGCTGCCTTTCTGGCGTCATTGTACATATCTTCAGACAACCTATCCAAGGCTCTTTTTTCTTCATTCGTACATCTATAGGAGTTCCTTACAAATATATATAAGAAAAGGTTATCTACTTAAGTATAAGAGAAGCTTACTCTTCGATGTAGTCTTGAATTTCACCTTGAGGATAAATTTTTGTAGGAAACAAGTCTTCGACAGAACTTACAGGCCAAGTAGGAGGTTCAAAAGTCTTGGTAGCGTTACTGGTCTCTAGGAGCAAAAAATTATTTAAAAAGAAAAACAAGTTAACAACGAGCACCCTTTTTAGATTTATTTTTCCTTTTAAATTTAGAGTACTTCGAAGTTTTTTTAGCCTTTAAAATAAAATAAATTTATTAGTTAAAATAATTCTAAAAAATTAAAAGTTAATAATTAAAAGTTAATAAGATAGTAGACCATTAAAGAAATCAAATAAGATACATACTGCAAAAAAACTCCAAACTATATAATATGTGTAACAATAAATAAAATTTATAAATTACAATGAGAACCTTCTCAAAATCTATAGTCTTTATAATATCCTCTAAACGATCATCCGTAGAGCTCATCTGCACTATTTTCTCTGACCGCTGTCCATCGAAAATCAGAATATAATATGATCTTCCACGTGGGCTATTCGACTAAAGTAGTGGTTAAAGTGTACCTACGCCAAGAAAATAATCAGCATTAAAAAAAAGTAGGGTAGGACGAACAGAAAAAGAAATATGTTAGTTTATTAAGTTCCTCTTTGAGAGTATTTATAGTACTTTACAGGTGCCTTATTCACTCTTAAAAAGTGAATAATACGGTTTACTATATCGGTGGCAAGAAATTCTAATATAATAGTTACAATCTTAAAAGTAGAAAACCCCCGTCATCTTATCAATTCAGAAACCATTACTTCTATCCAAATAGGTAGGAAGCAATAAATTTTCTTTCATTATTATCATTCTTAGATAATAACTACCATAGAACAATAATTGCTACCATATAACTTTAGCAATGATTAATTAATCTTGTGTTCTGAACCAGACACGATACTAGTTTATATATTCTCGTCCTCAATCAATTTAAATCTACAGGGGCTCCTCCCTTCTGGGGGAGGGTGAGGAGCTCATATTTTGGGGGACCTGGCTGGCAGTGGTGCTGACTGGTGTCTCCAGGTGTCTTCGGATCTTGTGCCTTAGGGTGCCTCTCCCGGTGGTGGTTTTTAGCAGTTTTCTACCATACTAATCTACTTGGACAGTCATTATAGCTTCACAAAGAGAGTACACTGATGGGTACTCGTCCTAACTCCTGAATAAGAGAAGAATTCAGATTAAGCGACCTAAGGTCTCTTACGAAGACTGTCCGTAGTATGCCAGTGCCTAAAAAAAAATTCGATCTCGTTTTGATTCTCCCTCATGCTCACGTGTTTTTTATTTATCTTTATTGGGGACCGCTTAGAAAATTATAAGAAATATTATATAAAACATATAACATAATAAATGGAAATTTAATTATACACTTTCAGTAGAACCAAACAAACTGCTGGTTATTAATAAGGTGAAACAGCTGCTTTTTAACATTCAGTAGAAAGAGTTTTGTGCATTAACATAATATATTTGATCTTTATGTTAATTTTCACTTCTGGTTGTATTAATTTTTAACCTTGAAACAAATATGCACAAACATTTTTCTTTTTCGGGTGTTACCTTAAATACCTCCAAAAATAATTATATACTTTGTAAAACTGCAATAAAACTGGTTTTTCTTTAAAAAACACAACTTAATTTCGTTAATCTTTATTAAGTTGTTTCGTGGGCTCTTCAATAAAAAAAATTGTGCTTTTAGAATGTTAACCTGGAGGTCAACGCTATTGGTACTTATACTTTTGTTGATAACAATTTTCCATGCCTCCTTGAAGCACGGAAAAAATACATTCTTTCAGGAGTTGTAGACTTGTTTGGTTAAAGTTATAATTTAAATGATGCCTAAAAACGTTTTTTCATTACTGCAGCTTTTTTTTGCGCTAAACTCAAAAGCTACGTAAACGAGTTCATGGAGGGAATCGGTGGATGGAAATCACGAAGACTGTCTTTCAAGGAAGTACCAGTCAATTTTGCAGAGCAAAGTTGTGCTTGCAAGTTCTAATGTTTTAACCGTTCGCCAAACATTTCCTTAATCTGAAGGGTAGGTAGTCATATAAAAGAGTACATAGATCGTCTTATTTTTGACGGCTTTATGCTCTGTAAGTATACTATATATGCACCCGATATAGTTATTTAGATCTAAACTTTAAAGTTAAAAATTAAAATGTTGGCAGGGGATATAAAAATCTTTAAAAAAAAAAATAAGTGTACTTAGTATATATGCTCATAAATATATTTTCGATTAGAGAACATTTTACATAAAAAAAAAAATTTAAGATAAAAGAAGGTTCAACTTATAATTATCTTTATGCCTTAAAGGCATTGAAGCTAAATAAATTTACGCATGCAAGTTAGTGTCTATGCAAAAATACTACATATTGTTAACATACATATAAAATATGTATGAAGGTTAGACCTTTACTTTTACTAAACGATTTTTTATAGTATAAGTAACTGGTATATATTTATTTTTAGTAAAAGACATAAACCGACTCATAAAATCCTATTATAGATGTAAGGTATGGTAAAAAAATACATAGTAATGCACACCTTTTTAATCATTCATTTTCTCGAAATTATTGAGCCCTTTCGGTAAATTTCAAGTCTTAGGTACATGCCATTTTTTCTTATCGCCCTCCTTATATTTCTCTACTAAGTGCACATCACTTTTATAAAGCTTAAGTGAGTCAGCTCCACGACATTGCATTCTTTCTTTCACAATAATTAGGATCTTCAACCCCCATTTAACTAGTATTTTACCTTTTACAATCTTCCTTATAAACAGGATTCCTTTCGATATAAAAAAAGACAACCAGAAAACACAAAAATAGTAATACTTACATTTTACTTTAGTACACACGGTCATCTATAATACCTTACATTTAAATTTACTTTGCGCGCAAATGTTTAACTGGATTGTTACTTTTATAAGAAACACTACCACAACCGTAAAAATTCTCGATAAGGGTAAAAATATATATATATTATTTGAAAAATTACAGCAACCTGTGCTTCAGACTTACTGGTTGATTGAAATTGAAGCGTCGTTTTTATTGGGGCATCAACTATTGGTGTAGCTCCTTGAACCGCTTGCATCGTAGTTTTTCAATTAGTTACTACAGATCATTTTCCAAGCTTAAAAAAAAAGGAGCTTACTGTGATTCTTTTCAAACTAGCATTGAGGATAAGGGGCCCCGCACTTAAGTACCTGCTAATTACTTATTAATAGTAAGATCTTCACAAGCAGGAGAAGAGTTGAGGTATATTGTCATTCTACTCATTTTCCGTGCACGAGAGGGGCAATTTTTCTATAACCATTGATTTTAAAAAATCAAAAATAAATTTCTCCTAGTAAAGTTAATTACATTATGTAAGGAAAAAAGTTTGATGCAGAATTTTATTAGCAAGTAATAATTTAGTATATAATTGTTTATGCATAATTTACATATAAAGAAATTTGTTGATTGGCTCTTAGCCCTCTTTAGCTTTTTGTCTATTTTCGGGATTATAAAAATCTGATGATTTTTAGAAATAAAAAAGTTATAAACGACAAAAATAAATAAAATATTAACCATTATACATAAAAATTTTGACTTTTTATATATAAAAGTTTCAGGCGTGTATTAAAGAAAATTGTTATACGACCTCAATGGCGTCACTAGGATATATTTTTCTTAAACTTTGCACTTTTGTGCTACTAGCTAAGATTAATGGTAGAAACAATGAAAACAACTTATCTATCCATTATGATATTTCTTTGAATGAATTAATATCCTCGAAACCTATCTCATTAGGCTTCATATCTTTTGCAAATGAATGGCGCAGTGTGGTTTATAACATAGGTTATAATTACAACATGCTAAAGGGAAATTTTCTTTTAAAATTATTCTGCTTTATAAATTGATAGGAGTCCCTTTCTTAGAAGGTACAAACACCTCTTTTAAAATAAACCAAAATGTCATAAATCTACTGTCTCAATTAGGAGGAGGGCTATTCTTAGTTAATGGTTAAATTCTACAAATAATTATTAAAAAGTTTAATTGAGTGTATATATTGGTAGGAAACAGCGGTAGTTATATATACAGAAATGGTTCAAAGCTTAAACCCCTCAAAACTTGGAAGCAAAGAATTTCTGAGGATATATTTAATTTGCTTAATGAATTTGCTGAGCGAAGCGGCATGCTGGTGTGTAATTGTTATATTTATATGTAATACTTTTAAATAAGGTAGCCCTATAAAGCTCGTTTTAGGAGCACCTTTGGAGAGAAATAAAGCTGAATATACAGTTGACTTTATAAAGGCTATAGAGAGCCATATTAAACCCGAGTATTTGTATGGTATTGAAATAGGTATGTAAAAACTTCAAATTCTTTCTTTAAGGATAATACGTCCATAAAATTATAATACCGATTAGCTAATGAACCTGACCATTTTGCTATACCGAAGAAATCTCTCAGAAAAAGAGGTTATAAATATAAACATTTTGAAAAGGAATATCAACAAGTTTTGAACTTATTGAAGGAAGAAAACTTGCATCCGCCTTTAATAGGTTTATATAACCCGAATAAGCGATTTAGCTAAGGCCAAAGATAATTATAAAAGCTTAATTAACAGGACCAGGATTTGCAGGTTGCAATACATGGGCTCTAGCTGCAAAACTTGGTCATTGTTGGATAGATCACTATATAACATTTGCCCAAAATACTTCAGAATTTGTAAATGTTATAAGTTATCATCGATATGGAGAGTCCGGCTGCCATAAAAGTTCCAGTATTAAGACTTTACTAGAGAAATCTGATACAGGCTATTTTGATATATATTTTGCTATACGCAGTTATAATAAATTATACACCTGCAGATGATTACAACTGGTTAGGTGGCCTTGCAACTCAGTTATCTGTGCTGAACAAAACTCTTATATGGGGGGAGGGTAATGCTTTTTCTTGTGGTGGTAAGAGGGGCCATAGTAACCTTTATGGGGCGGCGTTGTGGTATTTGGATCAATTATTTAAAAGCGCATTAGTCGGCGTAGAGCATGCCGCCATTCACACCTCTTATCACAAGGATTACGGTGTTTACAATGTGGATACCAAAACGGGTGTGCCGCTAATGATTTTTACAATCAAAGTTACTAAATAAAATTTTTTTTTAATAACAGGAGCTATTACCGTCTTGCCTATATTTTATGCACAGTATTTTTTTAACGAAATCCTGCGCCGCTTATTGGACTCTGCGGGAGATGACCAAATTTACACCTTTCTTCCCCAATGGAACGATAGCTTATCAAATTTAAATAAAATGGATCAAAGGCATATAAAGTGTTATGGAATGAGAAACACCAATAACACTAAGTTGGAAATAATATTCTTTGTAAAAAGTCCAAATCTACTTGGTTTGATAACTCTGTCCTCATTTTTTACGGGTGATAGTAACATGCT